TACACACACACAAACAGTCAGACACACACCACAGTCAGACACAAACACAAACACACAGTCAGGCACACACACACAGTCAGACACACAATCAGACAGACACACACACAGTCAGACACAAACACAGACACACAGTCACAGACACACACACAGACACACACACAGTCAGACACAAATAGACACAAACACACACAGACACACAAACACACACACAGACACAAACACACACACACACAGTCAGACATACACACTAACATCAAAAAAAGTTTTCTTTTTATTTAACCCCCCCAGCCTCCTTACCTGTGCTGGCTGCCGGTTGGGCTGGGCGGCGCTGGCTGCTGGGCGGGCGGCTGGCGAGGGAGCACTTCCTCTGAGCGGTCTGCTCAGCTCCCTCGTGCGCCGCACAGTGAGGCTGGGAGCCAGAATGTGACGTCATCTTCCGGCTCCCAGCCTCATTCTGCGGCGCGCGAGGAAGCTGAGCGGACAGCTCAGAGGAAGTGCTCCCTCGCCAGCCGCCCGCCCAGCAGCCCGCTCAGGCATGTCTGTTAGTCACGAGGCTAACTAGGCATTTGCCCTGGGCATTTGGGGGCGTAGTTTTTTGCCGCCCCCTGGAAAATGCCGCCCAAGGCAAATGCCTTGTTTGCCTGGCGGCTAATACGCCCCTGTACAGGACCACCCCTCCCCCTTTCTTGCCTTCCCTATCTTTTCTATATAAAGAGTACCCTGGTATTGCTATGTCCCAGTCATTTTTCTCATTATACCACGTCTCAGTAACAGCGACTAAATCTACACTATAAGTTGCCATTATTGCCACAAGTTCATGGATCTTTTTCCCTAAACTGCGAGCATTTGGAGACATGACTCTAAGCTTATCATTTTTTAACACACTTGCTACAGGCACCTTCTGTCCTTGTTTTGGGGGACAATTGGATTGATGTTTTATCACCCTTTTGCCCCCCCCTCCTAGTTTAAATACATCCTAGCAAAACCCCTGAACTGCTCACTGAGAACATTTGTTCCCTTTTGAGAAAGATGCAAACCATCTTTTTTTTTACAGTTTATTTCCATTCCAAACAGAGCTACCATGAGAAATAAAGCCAAATCCTAGCTCCCGACACCATTCACCAAGCCACAAGTTAAAGTCCCTAATACACATCCACCTGTCGGTCTGAGTGTTATGCACAGGCAGAACTTCAGAGAATGACAGTGTGAAAGCAACCTGCCGTATGTCATTGGCAAAAACACTAAAAACTTCCTTAACCTCTGAAACCTCATTGCAAGTCAAGTCATTTGTCCCTAGATGGACAAGTACATCCAATTCCCCTTCCTGCTTTGCTCACTTAACAATATTACAAATATGTCTCCTGTCTCTGTGAGCAGTAGCTTCGGAAAGACATCTCACAAGACCACCATCGTCCATCTCCACGCCTCTTATGATGGAATCCCCCAACAACAACTGCTTTCTATTAGGCCTCACCATAGTCTCCAAGCATGTCTCCAAACACCACTACCTTCAGTGCCTGAGCCTCTCTCCACAACACCACTACCCTCCGTGTCTGAGCTAGTCTCCACAACACCACTACCCTCAGTGCCTGATCCTGTCTCCACAACACCACTACCCTCAGTGCCTGAGCCTGTCTCCACAACACCACAAACCTCAGCGTCTGAGCTAGTCTCCACAACACCACTACCCTCAGTGTCTGAGCCTGTCTCCACAACACCACTACCCTCAGTGCCTGAGCCTGTCTCCACAACACCACTACCCTCAGTGCCTGAGCCTGTCTCCACAACACCACTACACTCTGAAAGTGCTGACAATGAATTATGTAGAGCAACAGACTGTGCAATATGCCTTTTATCCACAACTCTAAGTCTACCAGATCCTACAGTAATCCATCTGCCATTCCTAGTATGTCTCTGTGGCAGTGGCTTTGCAGCAGTTCCAGTCTGAGTTTGTTCACCAGATAATTTACAAATCTCAGACTTCAAAAATACAATCTCCTGCCGCAAGATAGAGAACTGTCTACAGATCAGACAGCATCCAAATCTCCAAAAAGTGGAACGTAAAACACAAACACACATGCAGACAGCCACACGCAAACACAGAGGCAGCCAGCCACACACAAACACACATGCAGACAGCCACACACACACAGAGGCAGAAAGCCACACACAGACAGACACACACACAGACAACCACACACCCACACAGGCAGACAGCCACACACAGACAGCCACACACAAACACACAGACAGACACACACACACACAGGCAGACATAGAAACATAGAATGTGAAGGGAGATAAGAAGCATTCGGCCCAGACAGTCACACACAGGCAGTCACACACAAGCAGTCACACACAGACACACAGACAGTCACACACACAGGCAGACAATCATACACACAGGCAGACAGTCAAACAGTCACACACACAAACAGACAGTCACACACACACACAGGCAGACAGTCAAACACACAGTCACACACACACACACAAAAGGGCAGACAGTCACACACACAGGCAGAAAGCCACACACAGGCAGACAGTCAAACACACACACACAGGCAGACAATCAAACATAGTTACCTCTGTCATGGGCGTAGGAACCCCAAAAAATCTGGGGGGGGGGTAGCATTTTTACTTGCCGGGTATTTTCTTATTCTGTACACTAGGAGTTGTTTATCCCATTGTACAGCGCTACGGAATTTGCAGTCGCTATATAAATGATTAAATAATAACTTTAAAGGGTCACTACAGGGAAGGGATTTTACTTACCTGGATTCAGCGCCGGGATCCTCCTGATGCCGTGCCCCCTATTTCGTCAAAATGACCTAATAGGAGGGTGCGAGCAGGGAGCAATAAAACGCTTCTATTCAGAAGCGTCATTGCTCTCTGGTGCGCATGCGCGGCTTTGCCGAACATGCACAGATACTTCATAGGGCGGCATTCATGTCTTGACTAGGAAGCACCTCTAGTGGCCATCTGAGTGTCCACGAGAGGTATTCCTCATCAGTAATGTAAATACTGCCTTTTTACGAAATGGCTTTGCTTACATTAAAAAGCCTGCAAAGACATGCTATAGACACCAGAACTACTACGTTTAGCTGTTGTAGTTCTGGTGACTATAGTGTCCCTTGAATATAGAGAGGAAAAAAGAATCATCACAAATGTAAGAAATAAAATGTCTGTATCATTATTCTAAAAATTATTTTAAAAAAATAAAAAAATATGCACATTCCTAGCTTAATTTTTAGCACCACATATGACACAAACATTTTGTACTTTGCAGATTACTTTTTATATTTTTTTTATACATATACAGATTGTGTAATACTGCCCCTGACTTAGGGTGACCACATTTCCTAACTGCCATTCAGTGACACTGTCAGAAATGCATTCCATACATTTTACTACCCGTCTCTACCCCTTCCATTTATATTAGAACCCCACCTACCCCTTCCATGAATATTAGAACCACCCCTACCCCTCCCATGAATATTAGAACAACCCCTAACCCCTTCCATGCACAAAAGAACCCCACCTACCCCTTCCACGCATATTAACCCCCTACCCCTTCCATGCATATTAGTACCCCCCTAACCCCTTCCATGCATATTAGTACCCACTAATCCCTTCCATGCATATTAGAACCCACCCTACCCCTTCCATTCTTATTAGTACTCCCCTAACCCCTTCCAATAATTTTTCTACCTACCCCTCTCCCCCTATCCTTATTAGTAGCCCCCCTAACCCTTTCGAATTATTTTTCTACCTACCACTCCCCCCATCCATATTAGTAGCCCCCCTAAACCCTTCCAATTATTTTTCTACCTTTGTCCCCCCTTTTACCTGACATAGCAGGGGGACCTCTGGACGTCTGGCAGGCGCAGTGTCAGACTGGGCACCGGGTAGTCACGTTACACTCGGCCAGGGCCGGTGCAAGGATTTTTGCAGACCTAGGCAAAAGTAAAGTTTGCCGCCCTCCCCATGTGACATCACAATGCCCCACAATGCCCCACCCATATGATCTGCCATGTTAACTAACACCAGTGCTGGAGTGCCGCCGTGTTTACATTAAAAGGCCTGCAGGGACAGGCTATAGACACCAGAACCACTACATTAAGCTGCAGTGGTTCTGGGGACTATAGTGTTTCTTTAATGTGAGCCCTGTATCATGGTCCGCGGGTACAGGGAGCTTTTGTGTGCACTTCCTGTTAGTCCGGCCGGGTACAGGAGACAGATGCTCCCTGTAACCGCGGACCATGATACAGGGCTCGGCCACTCTACAGTGAGGGAGTGACAGGAGGGAGTGTTGAGCGTTTCCCTCCTGTCAGCCCCTCTCCTCAGGCTGCGCCCGGGCGGTGTGGTCAGCCCTCTACAGAGCGCTCGGGCGGCTGCAGCATGGGGGGGGCGGCGGAGCTGGGCGGGATTTCCCCATAACCTGTCCCCCCAGCATGATTTGCTGGGGGGGATGCGTCCCCCTCATCCCCCCCCGGTTCCTACACCCATGGCCTCATCAAAGGATGCGTAGGAAACCCTGCAAAGCTCAGCTGAGATATCATCATTCACCAAACCCCCTCGAGGGTACGACAAATGGTGAATCAAGCGATACTTCCCGGGTTCCTTCTTAGTCACCACACCCAAAGGAGAAACACGCAAATTAGGCATTGGCGGGGTGGAAAACGGGCCAGCCATCCGGCCCAAGGAGACCTCCTTATCTAACTTTTTCCCGTACCACCTGAGGAAATGCCCACACGGACTTGATGTTCCGTACAAAGAGCAGCGGGGTTTGAGCAAAACCCCTGCTCAAACCCAACTACCAGGATCAGCGCCGCATAACCGAGACTAATGATACAAGGGAATAAGCTTACCTGGTTTATGTGGATAATTGTAGCACAGTCGGGACTTTTGTTGCCAGTATTCGTCTATTTGTGCAATCCATGCGGTAGGGACTCAGCAGGCACAAATACGAATACAAACTACCGAACACCGGACCACCCTGCTATTCAATTATGTGGTATTTTACCTCCCAGACCGGCATATACCATTCGTATGAGAAATGCACAAATCCTTTGTTTCAGATCCTAGGTGGCCGCCATTTTGGGACTTTTGCACGTGTTCGCCGCCATCTTAACGCACGAACAGCGGTGATTTGCCGTCGAGTGTCTGGAACTAAAATCGGACACTCGAGTAGGCGAACACCGCTGAAACCTCCATAACAACGTAAATTCGTGCTGAAACTACCGAACGCCCTGCCGTTCGGTAGATAGGATATATTACATACAGGGATTCCAGCGACCAGCAAGATATGCACAGATGGCAGGATTTTCGTGCCTTTTCACCACACGAACAAGGACCGACCGCAAGGCCAAAACTTATGGAACTATTTTCGGCCAGTGTGCCTATGCCGTCGGTCAAAACTTTAAAGTCCCATAACTCCCGAACGCTTTAACCGAATAGGATGATTTTTTAATATGTTGTTCCCCTAGATGAGGGCTATCTGGGGATACTGGATTTAAGGGTGTACCCCATCCAAAACTAGGGTAAAAATGTGTGTGTGTTAATTATGTTAACTGTTTATCTGAGGGGAGGAGACGTGTGGGATGTACCATGTTTGTTATTGGGTACTGTACTAATTATGTAGGTGTCGCCCTCCCAAGGGCAGAATTACATAAAAGGAGAATCCCTGTCAATAAAAGCCAGTTCTGCTTGACCCTACAAAACGTAGCCTCGTCTCATTCTTGGAAGGGGATTTACTGCACAATTACCTTGCTCCTTTTTACAGCTATGCATGACTCTACTCTTGGATCTCGTGGATGGGAATAAGTAACTCCATTACTACACAGCAGCTTGACAGGAAAAGGACGTCTCCAACGGCTGATACCACTTTGCTACCTGGGTAGCCGTTACAGTGTCCTGATAACAGAACAGCCCATAGCACTTTTGGGGAGACTTCTCCCCCACCACGCTGGCCAAAATAGAGAATGCCCAAATCCATTTCCCAAAGGGTTTGGGAATTTTTTGAAAGCGGTACTTTTCCCTATTCTTTTCTGACTCCTTACTGTCCTTGTCCACCACGGGAGGAGCTTCTTCTGGCAGGAGTGAAAAGATCTCCACAAATTCCCCTTTCCAAATCTTTTCCCTCGTCTCCTGCTTCAAGTGCAAGCCCAGAGGGCCTGACCAGCACATGTAAGCAGCACCCCGTGCCACGTCCGAAACCCCCCCTTCAAGACAAGTGGAGAGAACATTGCACAGGATGCCTGACGACCCAATCCCGGCACTGCACTCCAAGAAGGCTGAGGCAAAGAAACAGTGGTTCCAGCATCCACAGAAGACATCATCTGTGTTCCAGGTGCCACCTGCTGGATGGGTCCATGAACTGCAGCAGTGTCCTGAGAAGAAAGCAGCAGAGAGGATGAGAGCCCACGCCCCAGAGAGGCTAAGGTAAGCGACCTGCAGGGGGGAAAGGATTCCAGGCAAGGTAGAGGGGGAGGGGAGAACAGAGGGGACCCAGAAAGGTAAGGATAGGGCCCAGAGGGGGGGAGACAGGACAGGAAGTGGACAAAAAAGGAGGAAGGGGTGGACAGGCCCACCAGAGGGGGGTAGGAGGGTAGAGGAACCCAGACAAGAGGAGGGGCCCAGCCAAGGGTAAGCTGGGCCCCCTGGAAGAACAAACAGAATGAACAGGGGAAGGAGGGGGGACAGGGGAGACAGAGCCCTGGGAGCCTTCCTCACCGGCAGTGGAGGCTCCCGACAGGCAAGGGGACCCCCCCGGATCCCCAGTGGCAGTACAAAGGTACCCCGCGCAGCCCACAAGAGCCTACTTACCGCCCCACCCACCGCCAGACGCGGGGGGTACCTGGACCGTTGCTGCCCACTGCTCCGGCCCGTGATCCAGCGCTGGCGGCCGGGGCGGATGGTGTAGAGAAGACCGCCAGGAAGGCTGCGCAGCATCAATAGCAGTAGTAGTAGGCCCCACGGTGGTAGTAGGCCACATCCCCGGCCTGGAAAAAGTAGGCCGCATCCCAGCCTGGCAGTAGCAAGCCATGCGTCAATAGAGGCGGCAGGCTGTGCGGCAGTGGCAGGCCTTGTGGCAGAAGGCTTGCCACGTGCGCGGCCACGGAAGGCCGCAAATCCCAGCCTCTGGGACCAGGCCGCGTGTCTGGAGCCCCAGACATGCGGTCCAGGCGGTACCTCAGGCTCCTGCTCCTCAACCGGGCCCTAGGATTATTGTCCGGGAACAATTTGGTGAGGGGGGGCCCACACCGGTAGCCATACCTCTAGTAATGTGCCCAAATTGTTCCCTTAGTTGCCGGCCACCATCCAGCGATGCAGCAGCCCTGAGGGACACCAGGATCACCTCAACATCCATCACCTCAAGCTGTGAAGGACAAGGAGCAGGCAAACAGGAGCAGGAGGACAAGAAAAGCTGTTTGCTGGCCCGGATCCCAAGTGTCACTGAGGTACCTCCCCCCCCACTAACTCACATAGCGCCTAACCCCACCCACACACTCTTCCCAAACCACTCCCATTCATCTATCTCCACACTCCTACATGTGTCCTTGTCTGCTTAGCTGTGCTATCTCCCCAGGGCCTGTTGAAGTTTCTGTAAAACTCTCCAGAATATCTCCAACCACACACTTAGAAGCAGCACTTTTATGAAGCAACCAAGCTATATTGCTTACAAAGGAAATTTGCAAGATATTTCCTGAATCTACACCATGTTTTGGTTCTGATGAGAAAGCAGTGTAAGAAAACAGTTATGCTCTGACTGTCTACATAAGGTAGCTGCTTCAGCATCACCTATACCGGCACAGCCACATGACAGGTGGGAAGATGCTACGTTTGACAACTCAGCTTTTTTTACGCAAGCCTATGGATTAGAGATGAACAAACGTTACGATTTCAGTAACAGTTCGGGTTTGAGATCGGTGTTCGGCGAATTTAATGGCACGTTTTGAAAAGCTGCAGGGCAGCCAATCAACAAGGGTTTGACTCATGTGCCCTTAGAAGCCATCACAGGAATGCCTACTAATGGCATGGCTGTGATTGGCCAGTGCAGCATGTGACGCTCTATATAAGCTGAAGTCACATGAGCTCTTATTAGTGTAGGGAGAGGATGCTGCAGCAGCTGTGAGGGACAGATTAGGAAAGAATTCTGGTGTTGAATCTGCAAACTACAGCGATTATTTTTCTGGGTGCTATACTACATTTTTTGTACCCTGTCCTGAGCGCAGTACCACAGAGAAATAAGCAATCAGTCTGTTTGTTACTTGGGCACTTGAAACTGCATGTGTGCCAGGCACATTACTTTAATCCTGTTCTGGTAGATCAGTGGGCAACATCTACGCATTTTTAAATAATGCTGTGACATTGCAGTTTGACAAATTCACATTTTTTTGGTGCTAAAAAGCTAATTTGTGGCGTGCACTTCATATCTGAGAGTCAAATAGAACCGTCAAATACTGCTGTGACATTGCAGTTTGACAAATTTTTTTGGGTGCTAAAAAGTACATTTGTGGCGTGCACTTCATATCTGAGAGTCAAATACAACGGTCAAATACTGTGGTTACATTGCAGTTTGAAAAATTCACATTTCTTTGGTGCTAAAAAGTAAATTTGGGGCATGCACTTCATATCTCAGAGTCAAATAGAACCATCAAATACTGTGGTTACATCGCACTTTGAAAAATTCAAATTTTTTTGGTGCTCAATAGTACATTTGCTGCCTGCGGTGAACTTCATATCTGAGAGTCAAATAGAACCATCAAATACTGTGGTTACATCGCACTTTGAAAAATTCTAATCTTTTTGGTGCTAAAAAGTAAATTTGTGGCATGCACTTCATATCTCAGAGTCAAATAGAACCATCAAATACTGTGGTTACATCGCACTTTTAAAAATTCTAATCTTTTTGGTGCTAAAAAGTAAATTTGTGGCATGCACTTCATATCTGAGAGTCAAATAGAACCATCAAATACTGTGGTTACATCGCAGTTTGAAAAATTCACATTTCTTTGGTGCTACAAAATAAATTTGGGGCATGCACTTCATATCTCAGAGTCAAATAGAACCGTTAAATACTGTGGTTACATCACACTTTTAAAAATTCAAATTTTTTTGGTGCTAAATAGTACATTTGCTGCCTGCGGTGCACTTCATATCTGAGAGTCAAATAGAACCGTCAAATACTGTGGTTACATCGCACTTTGAAAATGTAAAACATTTTTTGATGCTAAATAGTACATTTGTTGCCTGCGGTGCACTTCATATCTGAGAGTCAAATAGAACTGTCAAATACTGTGGTTACATTGCACTTTGAAAAATTTTAAAAAATTTGATGCTAAATAGTACATTTGTTGCCTGCGGTGCACGTCATATCTGAGAATCAAATAGAACCATTAAATAGTGTGGTTACATGGCACTTTGAAAAAATCACATTTCTTTGGTGCTAAAATGTAAATTTCGGGCATACACTTCATATCTCAGAGTCAAATAGAACCATCAAATACTGCTCTGACATTGCAGTTTGACAAATTCAATTTTTTTTTGGGTGCTAAAAAGTAAATTTGTGGCATGCACTTCATATCTGAGAGTCAAATAGAACCGTTAAAAACTGTGGTTGCATCGCAGTTTGAAAAATTCACATTTCTTTGGTGCTAAAAAATAAATTTGCGGCGTGCACTTCATATCTGTGAGTCAAATACTGTGGTTACATTGCACTTTTAAAAATTAAAAAAATTTTGGTGCTAAAAAGTAAATTTGGGCCGTCCACTTCATATCTCAGTGTCAAATAGAACCGTCAAATACTGTGGTTACATTGCACTTTTAAAAATTCTAATTTTTTTGGTGCTAAATAGTACATTTGTTGCCTGTGGTGCACTTCATATCTGAGAGTCAAATAGAACCATCAAATACTGTGGTTACATTGCACTTTGAAAAATTCAAAAAATTTTGATGCTAAATAGAACATATGTTGCCTGCGGTGCACTTCATATCTGAGAGTCAAATAGAACCATCAAATACTGTGGTTACATCGCACTTTGAAAAATTCACCGCACCCTAGGAATACAGCGGATCCCGGCCAGACCGGAGCACCCTCAAGCAGCACCCAAGACCCTCCATAGACGGACAGCAGAGAACTGTTCAGGCTACCCACCCATTAAACCCTTTGACCACAAGTTATAACTGCATAGACACTCGAGAATGTATGTTCACTATATATTAATGCAAAGACGACATAAATGTATATAGTTAGCTGGGTATTTATAGCAATGTTGTTGTGCAATTGGGGGTATTGTTTGTTCTTCCACCTCTTGCGGGGTACCTAGTCAGAGACGTTGCGTCCTACTATCGCCACGTCCCTGAATCAATGGCTACATTCAAGGCAATTAATGTTAAATCCATTCACCCCTTTGCCCCCACACGCCAAAATGACACAGCTCAACACAGGGAAGCCTTTTACATAGATTGATCTGCTAACGATGAGTTATACTGCATGTTTTGGGGGGCATAAAAGTAAAGGCATCCTCTTAACTATCTCCCTGCATATGTGGTCCCTAAACAAAGTGCAGACACTAAAAGGGACGCTGCAAACTAAACATATTTATTGGCGCTGATACTAAAAAGTGTATAGCATTATATTCCAACCGCACTAACTCAGAATCTATGGAAATCCCGTGGCACTAGTGCTTAATATACAGAACTACCCAGTTTAATTGATGTGGCAAGGGCAGAGTTATCTTACAATAAGACGTTGTCTACTATAGCTTAGAGGTTAACTCTTACATAATTTCTTGCAGACAAAGAAGAAACCAGATTTCAGGGCACCTGAGTCTAATAGCAAGATACCCATAGTCTCTACAATAGCTGACGTCTGAGCCCTCTGGGATCGTATCTCCTGTTTATTTTTATGTTATTTGGCACCTGCATAATCCTACAGGCTAAGTTCATGTTTTTCTCTTTATTTATTTATTTTTTCTATTTAAACTACTACTACTGACCATTCATATGCAATCTGTTCATAAAAATGTGCAACTATATATTGTCATAATGATGTTGGACTTAACGTGCCTGTACCTGCTATCGTGGCACTACAGGCTTGTTTGTAAAACTTATTGCACGAAAAATAAAGAATAAAAAAAAATAATAATTTGGGGCGTGCACTTCATATCTCAGAGTCAAATAGAACCGATAAATACTGTGGTTACATCGCACTTTTAAAAATTCAATTTTTTTTGGTGCTAAAAAGTACATTTGTGGCGTGCATTTCATATTTGAGAATCAAATAGAACCGTTAAATACTGTGGTTACATTGCAGTTTGACTAATTCACATTTTTTTGGGTGCTAAAAAGTAAATTTGGGGCGTGCACTTCATATCTGAGAGTCAAATAGAACCGTCAAATACTGTGGTTACATCGCAGTTTGAAAAATTCAATTTTTTTTGGTGCTAAATAGTACATTTGCTGCCTGCGGTGCACTTCATATCTGAGAGTCAAATAGAACCGTGAAATACTGTGGTTACATCGTAGTTTGAAAAATTCAAATTTTTTGGGTGCTAAATAGTACATTTGTGGCGTGCACTTCATATCTGAGAGTCAAATAGAACCATCAAATACTGTGGTTACATTGCAGTTTGACTAATTCACATTTCTTTGGTGCTAAAAAGTAAATTTGTAGCGTGCACTTCATATCTGAGAGTCAAATAGAACCATCAAATACTGTGGTTACATCACACTTTGAAAAATTCACATTTCTTTGGTGCTAAAATGTAAATTTGGGGCATGCACTTCATATCTCAGAGTCAAATAGAACCGTCAATAACTGCTGTGACATTGCAGTTTGACAAATTCAAATTTTTTTTTGGGTGCTAAAAAGTAAATTTGTGGCGTGCACTTCATATCTGAGAGTCAAATAGAACAGTTAAAAACTGTGGTTACATCGCAGTTTGAAAAATTCACATTTCTTTGGTGCTAAAAAATACATTTGTGGCGTGCACTTCATATCTGAGAGTCAAATAGAACCGTCAAATACTGTGGTTACATCGCACTTTGAAAAATTCAAATTTTTTTGGTGCTAAATAGTACATTTGATGCCTGCGGTGCACTTCATATCTGAGAGTCAAATAGAACCGTCAAATACTGTGGTTACATCGCACTTTTAAAAATTCTAATTTTTTTGGGTGCTAAAAAGTACATTTGTGGCGTGCATTTCATATTTGAGAGTCAAATAGAACCGTCAAATACTGTGGTTACATTGCAGTTTGACTAATTCACATTTTTTTGGGTGCTAAAAAGTAAATTTGGGGCGTGCACTTCATATCTGAAAGTTAAATAGAACCGTCAAATACTGTGGTTACATCACACTTTTAAAAATTCACATTTTGTTTGTGCTAAAAAGTAAATTTGGGGCATGCACTTCATATCTGAGAGTCAAATAGAACCATCAAATACTGTGGTTACATCGCAGTTTGAAAAATTCAATTTT